GGAGCATGAATTGTTAATATGAATCCTATAAAGTATGTGAATTGATAATTGATATGAAATTATAAGATATGAACTATATGATAAATGTTGAGTTAGAAACTGATGAAAAATTGAAGATGAAATTCTCTCTAAGAAAATGTACGTACGTCATCGAACGGTCCTTTACTGTTCGGTTTCTCTAGTAAACTGTTAAAATTGGAATTCTTTCATTTGGAAAGAATTCTATTTCAGGACGAACGCCCTCTTGTATTAGTACTACGTTTAAGCGTTCGGCCGAACGTAGATGCCCCGAGTGTTATGTGAGGAGTTGAGAAGCTTATAACTATACCTTTGGACACTTAGTCATTTCTAAATTTTATCTTCACCATCTCGTATTACCTTTATTTCTAATCCTATTATGAGTACACATCTGCGATGGGTCTCGACCCAAAGCGTTTGTTATGAGTGGCGCTCGGTCTTGTAGTGAACGCTCGTTCTAGTATTAAATTACAAAACGGGTGGAAATAGCGTTCGTCCAAATTTCAGTAACTCCGTGTGCCGCGTTCGGTCATTGACTAGCAGTCGGTTTCTATAATTGAATTGTTCTCGGTATGATCATTTAATCGTCTTGAGGTGTCTCTATCTATTTGAATTCGGCCTAGAGCCTTTGTACCTAAATTATTATTGAGTATTGATCGGATCTTCTTAGAGTCAGTTCATTCAACTGATTCAAGTGGTAAATGACGTTCGTTAAATATTAAATGTCGGTTTTATTCTTTTCTGAAACGAGGATCTCTCGGTCTCGTTTTTAACGTTCGTCCTCATTATGAAGAGGGTTGAACGCTCGTTATTTTATGAAATTGAAATGGAAGACGAAAATGAGATTAAAGTGAAGAATTATAAGGAATGAACAGTATATGAGATGAAATAATGCTTGTGGATTTTGAACGAGCGTTCCAGGGAGGAACGACTCATGTATGGATGAATATGGAATTTTGTAAAGTATGATTGTGGGCATGCTAATGCTGGCAGTTCATCCTGATGTTCCGTGAGTACTCGTCCTCACGTAGAGGAGGGTAGGTCATGTGTGGGAACGGCAGGAGGTCCTAGTCCTTAGGGGTACTTTGGACAGATAAGGTTAACCTCGGGTGGCAGCTGTTGAGTGTATCCCAGTTACTACATCACCCGGGTGCAAGAACGCCTGTAGCTACACAGGTTCATACAGTCCGGACGGTCCGTCTAGAGATATTTTTGTATGGTTATACATGTGAACTATAGTCTTGTGTTGTTTGGAATGTTACTTTAAATGTTGATGTATGAATTAAATTACATAAGCTTACCCAGCGTATTCCTTGTGTTGTCTTGTTTTGTACGTTCGTCCTGTCGTTGCAATGATCATCCGTGTGGATGTGAGCAGAAGGAGATGCCTTGTTGGAAGATATAATTGAAGAGGAGAATCTGGTAGATGTGGAAGTCAAGGCCGAGCCTTAGAACGTCCGATTATTTATAGATGATAGCTAGTAAATTTTGATTTTGAACGTTCGGTTATTTGGTTTTGTAAAACCGTTCGTTCCGAACTCTTGTCACTTCTGTGTTAATGTATTTAACTTTGTAATTAATGTCGTTCGGCTTTTGAACGTTGATTTTTTAGTGTAAGACTGCACTGTTTGATTTTTGCAATGTAATTAATTCTAATTTATGGTTATTACTGTATTTTGGGATGTTACATTCTTTAAAAAAAACAGTGACAATGAGAATTTTTCAAATGATGTCACTTAGTGAACAAATTTTTGATAAGAAATTTCATGTTTTTTTAAATAAAAAATTGAAGAAACCTTTCGTGGAAACAATAAATAAAATTAGTTTCTTTTTCCATGATATTTCACATTAATTAGAATTTTCACGAAATGTTTTCTAAATTTTTATTTTAAGAAAATGAAATTTCACGTTATAATTTGTTAGTTCATGTGAAAATGAAATTTCATCATTAATGAAATTTCACCTTTTATTTAAATAAAAATTTGGATTCTTTTTATGAAAATAGTAATTAAAATAGTTTCTTTTTCCATGATCTTCCACGTTAATTAGAATTTTCACCAAATTTTCTCTAATTTTTTATTTTAAGAAAATTAAATTTCATATCATTAATATTTTCACTATTTTATTAACTCTTATAAGTATTTTTAAACAAACATAATTAACATTTATGTAATTAACTAAATATAAATATAAATAAACTAAATCTTGTTAAAAATATTTAATAAAAATATCAATTTTAATAAAATTATTTGGAAAGATTTATATACAAAATTTTTTTCTTGAATTTGAAGAGAGACAAAAATGTTTAACCTAAAAAAAATTAGGATTAAATTGAGAAAAAAAGTAAAAATATAGAAACGAAAATAAGACTAATGTAATGATACGTGGACTAACAATGACATGCAATGCTACTTCACACTATCATTGTTACTTGATAAAATGTCAACTTGACACATGACAATATTTTCTAAATAAGAAAATAAAGAAAATAAAAAAAGTCAAAAAATATTTAAAATTTAAAAAAAAAAACGACGAACAAACACGTGATACTTCAAGATCTAATTACTTTAATTTTTTAAAAATAAGAATCTAATTAAGACAAAATAATAATTGAATAATATATTTGAGAAAAGTCACCATAGGAAGTATCTATATTATTAAATCAAAGTAAAAAGAAAAGAAAAAGAATGAAGAGACCTTAGAGCCTAAGAATTTAAACAATAAAGAATTTATTTTATAATGTATAAATATTATTATATATAATAAAAAAATCATGCGTTGTGCATGTATATTCACTTTTTATAATAAAAAATAATAAAATTATAATTATAAAAACAAATATATTTTTTTAAATAAATTTTATTTGATTAATTCCAAAAAATGGTTAAATTTAAAACACTATTTGAAGAATAAAATTGAAATAGAATGTGAATATAAAAAAAATAAAACTTCTTGATATATATATAGTATGTATGTATGCTTTTCGCTTGACGATATGATAAAACTTTTCATGAGAAAATTAGGTATAAGTTTAAAGAAAAATCCATTATTATTATGTGAAAGGAAATTTCAAGACGCACAGTCAAACTCCGCGTTAACCACACTAATCAACCATAAAAAAAGTAAAGATAGAGGAACAAAATTCTTCACCTTTATGACCACAAAATTTTTTGTTAGGTTGAGCTCCAACACAAATTCATCCACTAAATTACTAACCCCACTATCGTGGCTAATTTACTTCAAACTTCTTTTTAATGTTATACTAATTTAATTAAATTAATCCACTCCATATGTAACTTCACTCAATGAGTTTCAAGTCAAGTTCTATAGAAGCACTCGATAGAGTCTCCATGTAGTGGGTAGTTGAAGTCTTGAAGGTGGAAGCACTGTAAGATATTACTTTTGTCACCAGTTGCATATATAGTGTTTGTGAATTGACTATAAATATGCTTCTTTATTTCCTTACCCATTCATCAGTATTGTCTCTTACACCAAACACTTTTCACGCAGTTTGAATGGACTCAAGGATAAGATGTTTCCTTCTCTTTTTACTTTTTCATTTTTCATCCTCTCATTCCTTATGCCATCCTTATGACACCTTTCTCTTGCATCACTTCAAGAATTCTTTTACTATTATTAATTCTACTTTTTATCATGATAATCATTGTTATCATCCAAAGACAGAACATGGAAAAATGGGACAGATGGTTGCTCTTGGGTTGGAGTCACCTATGGTATCTTTTGTTTACTAAATCTTCAACACCTCGATCTTTCATTTAATCTGTACCTTCAAACACACCTTCCAAAAGTTGGTTGTAGCACTACTTCTCTTAATATCTTAGATCTTTCAAATTCTGACTTCCAAGGGTCAATCCCTCCCTCCTTCTCTAACCTCTCACATCTTACTTCCTTAGATCTTTCATATAACTCTCCTGTGGATTCAATCCCATCCTCACTCCTAACCCTTCCATCTCTCTCTTTTCTCAATCTCTATCATAACTATCTCAGTGGTCAAATCCCAAATGTCTTTCCTCAGTCAAACAAATTTAAAGAATTGCATTTCAGTGATAACAATTTAGGAGGTGAGCTGCCATCAACACTTTCAAATCTTCAACATCTCACTCTCTTGGATCTTTCGAGAAATAAATTCAGTGATCAAATCCCATATATTTTCTTTTAATAAATTACAAGGTCCTTTGCCTAATAATATAACAGGATTATCATTTGATAACAACTAGCTAATGTTGGGAACAAAGGAGAGAAGAAATAAATAAACAATGCATTTGTAAACCTTACATAACCTTTCTTATATAGCAAAGTGAAGAACATTATCTCACAATACTAAGCAATGTGGGACTAAAAATATAGTACAAAAACTTAATCAAACTACACAAAAAACTAACAATTCTCTCCCTTGGAGTTTGATTACCACATAGTGTAATTGCCTTCATCATCAGTTATTCTTGAAGGGCAATTGAGGTACTGCAAAGCCTCAATTTTTTCTGTTGTGACAACCTTTGTCAACATATCCGCTGGGTTCTTATTTCCTAGTATCTTCCTCAACGTTAGTACTTCAAAAAAACTAACAGCTGAATGGGACAATTCGTTCATGGTGTTTATCTTTGCCATCTTTGACGTACTTGTCTCCATCTGAAAACAAATTCACAGAGCTTATCAGTGTAAACATATCATATTCCTTGAACTATCTAGATTTCTCCTACAACAAGCTACAAGGTATTCCAGTAACAATTTCAACCCTGTAAATCTTACTTACTTAGATCTATCATCAAACAACAAGTGGATATGTTCACTTTCCACTTTTCTCTTATCTTCAAAATTTGAATTATCTTTCCCTTTCCATGAATGATCAATTATCCCTAAATTTTGAATCCAATGTCAACTATAATTTTTCCTTATTAACAACTTTAGACTTATCTTCTACGGGTTTAACTGAATTTCCAAAGTTATGAGGAAAAGTACCAATGTTAGAATTTCTCTGTCTATCCAATAACAAAATTAAAGGAAGAGTTCCCAATTGGTTTATCTCGTTATATTCATTAGACCTCTCCCACAACCAATTGGAGCAATCACTGGACCAATTTTCATGGAACCAACAACTTGATTATCTTGATTTTAGTTTTAACAAAATCACTGGTGGCATCTCTTCCTCAATTTGTAATGCAAGTCCAATTGAGTATCTCAACTTGTCACGCAACAAGTTGACGGGCATCATTCCACAATGCCTTGCTAACTCATCATACCTTTTTGTTTTGGATCTACAACACAGCAAACTTCATGGCACTTTGCCAAGTAGCTTTTCAAAAATTTGTGGGTTCCGAACTCTGAATCTCAATGACAACCAATTAAAAGGTTCTTTGCCAGAATCTATGTCCACTTGCTTTACTCTGGAGGATTTAGATCTTGCCAACAATCAATTAGAAGGTACCTTTCCTCATTCTCTTCAAGGTCTATCAAATTTAAGAGTATTGGTTTTGCGAGCCAATAAGTTTCATGGCCCGATTGAAAATTTAAAGACCACATATGAATTTGCCAATTTAGTTATACTTGATATCTCTTCCAACAACTTCAGCGGCCCAATACCAAAGGTGTACATAAGAAAGTTTGAAGCCATTAAGAATGTTGTTCAAGATGAAAATGAGGAATACATCAGAGGTTTTACAAGTTATGATTCTGTGACTATAACAACAAAATCAATCGTTGTTACAATGGAGAAAATTCGGACAGACTTTGTAACCATTGATTTATCAAAAAACAGATTTGAAGGAGAGGTTCCAAACGTGATCGGAGAACTTCATGCTCTTAGAGCGCTCAACCTTTCTCGTAACATACTTAGTGGTCCTATTCCCCAATTCCTGGGAAATTTGACAAACTTAGAATCGCTAGATCTGTCCTCAAATATGCTTACTGGTATGATTCCTACAGAACTAACCAATTTGAACTTTCTGAAAGTTCTGAATCTTTCCAATATTCATATTGTGGGAGCAATACCTCAAGGAAAACAATTCAATACATTTTCCAACGATTCCTACAAGGGAAACTCTGGGTTATGTGGGTTTCCATTGACATAAAAATGCAGCAAGGACATTGAACAACATTCTCCACCTTCACTGCCCTTTAAGAGAGAGCATGGATATGGATTTGGATGGAAACCGGTTGCTATAGGATATGGATGTGGAATGATATTTGGAATCGGAATGGGATGTTGTGTGTTATTAATAGGAAAGCCTCAATGGCTTGGGAGAATGGTTGCATGAATTGGGGTTGTCTTGTTGTACACCTTATTCAAATTCAATTGTGCCTTCATTGAAAACGAAAGAAGTTAAGCAAGAATTTTATCACTTTGCACTGCATGGGAGATTTGATTCAAAGTTTATTTCCAATATATATTTAATTCCAAGTTTAGTTGTAATATGAGTGTCTTGTATCTAATTATTTCATTTTATTTAGAATATATTGTTGTATTGGTTGTATATTAATAGTTGTTGTACTTCTAAAAAGAATTATATATTGACTTAAAAAATAGAAAAATTCTAATTATGTATTTTAAAAAATGTTATATTGTTCATTCCCACAATTCTATTAAATGTATTTGGTTCTCTTATGTTTTTTTACTCATTATTCAATGAAGATTTTACTCGTATAACGTTGAAGAACTTACAAGGACTGTGTTCAAATTATGCAATATGTCATCAACCACAGACTAGTTCAGAGCATTGAATATTAGTACAAATATAAATTTTAAAAAAATTATAAATTAAATTTTAACTAATTTGTAAAGTTCTTAATTTCTTTTCGTTTAAAAAGAACATGAGTTGCATATGAAAAAGAGGATTCAACAGAGTCTCAAACTCTTTTTTCATAACATAAAACTGAAATAACTTAAACAAATCAAAGAGAATCTTAAAATGATTTATCCCAAACCTTCTATTAGATTAAGTTTTTCTTAAGCATATAAGAAATTTCACTATTAAATAAAATTTGGATTACAACAAGTAAATGATTTCCAGATTACATGATTATATAAATCTTTATAGATTACACGACTTTGAATCTCTAGTACAAATTTTCAATCTCGTCCAAAAATTAAGAAATCTTGAAATAAAAAAAATGCACTCCCAAGAGAGAATATGTTAAGCTCACGAGTGGTAAATTTACGAAGTTAAAAATAATACAAAAGGTTTCACACTCCTAAAGTTTGTACTAAGATTACTATTGGACTTTGAATGCACACAATTTATCTCTTTCTTTAATATATTTTATCTTTTTTTTTCTAACATTAAAAAAACATTATTTATCGACAGACAAAATCCATCAGAAACAACCAATTTTCCTCATAATATACTGTTTCTAATCGATTATCGATGGTCGGTAACTATTATCGACGAATATCGGTCTTTGGTAATTATCGACTGACACATCTTTCAATAATTATTCGTCGGTAATTACCGACAAACACATCTGTCGGTAATTACTGAAAGACATATACATTGATAATTACCAAAGGATATATCTGTTGGTGATTATTAAAGAATATGTCTTTCGGTCGGTAAAGTCATAACAAATTCTAATATAATATGTATTGGTTAATTATCCCAGATTCGCACAACCAAACCTCCACAAAACAATATCCAAACCACAATGACATAATCAGAGCTATGATAAACAATATGCAACCCACAATGATCCAATAAACAATATCCAACTACATGTTAGCATAAAGATAAAGTATAGAAGTTATGATGATGCCCAAATCAAGTGTCAAGTGCTCAAGTTGCAAGAAGACTCTTGAAAAGACATGTTTTTGTGTTAAAGTTTTGTTAATAAGTAGATTTAGGTATGAGGTGTTATTTGTTCTTGATTCCATGTATTGTATGCTTTAAAATTCGTTTTGGAGTCAGAAAAACTCTACAATAATCGATTAGCCCTCAAGTGTCAAGTGCTCAAGTTCAAATTATTACCACCAATCAAAGCACATTCTCAATTAGTAGAAAAAACTTGCTTAACATATGAAAGTTGTCGGAACAATCGGTACCGTTATAGAATCGCGCAACGAAATAAATTAATAAAGCGGAAAGCGTGTTCGGTCAAACTCGTAATAAGATGGTCCGTTTTAGAAATTCAATTTTCTTAGAGAAAATTTATCAAACAGTTGATGTGCATAAAACAGTAAAGAGTGTAGGGTGTAGAAAACTTGACACACTGGATTTTTATCCTGGTTCGATTCAAAAGAATCTACGTTCAGTTGTTAATAACTATAAAAAGTGATTAACGTTTTCACTAAAATCAGTTTCACAAATAACAATAAGAGTGAATAAAAACAGAGAGATAAAACCTTCCTTCAACGAACGAACCGGAAGGGTGCTTCCTTCGACCAACGAACCGAAAGCAGGTAATCTGCACTTTCCTTCGACAAACGAACTGGAACAACGCAGATTAAAAATCTTCCTTCGACAGACGAACCAGAAGATGACCACCTTGCCAACTCGAAGAGAACCGCTCCGACTATCAACACACGAAACGCGAGCTTCTCCTTTTCACGAGACCAGGCAAAGCAATTGAACTAGCTTTTTATAACTTCCTCAGATCACATTGTATTCTCAAAAGTTCAGAGTTAACCCCCTAAGGGTTTTGGAATAACCTTATATAGGCAACTGGTCCGAGTTTGAAAAGATAGATTACAACTGCCACTGATAATCGATTATTGTTAGTGGTAATCGATTATTTAAGTCTGTTACATGGTTTTTCAAAGAGTGATAATTGATTATCTGAAGGAATAATCGATTATTCCAAAGACTTTGGCAGCTTTCAAGGGGACCAGTTGATAATCGATTATTTGAAGGAATAATCGATTATTCCAAAGCGAAATGCTTTTTCAAGAGTGCTCAGGATAATCGATTATAGCTTCTCATAATCGAAATGTGTAACTTAACTAAAGGTACGATATTTTCTAAGTTATACATATTCAAAGACTTTCCTAATACATTTATATTCTACAAAGTGCTTTTACAATAATTATAACAGCTTCTTTAAGTCTATGTTCTTGCAGCATCATCAAAATCAATTATTTTCAATTTACCAATGCTTCCTCATTGGTAACAATCTCCCCCTTTTTGATGATGATAAAAAATACTTGTTTAAAAGCAAATTTGGTTAGTCTGCAAAAAATACAGGCTAATACACAACAATAGAATTAGCAGTAACTGTACTACTTCTCCCCCTTTTTGATCAGAAGCAAAAAGATCAGTAAAAACGCTCCCCTTGAATATGATCTCCCCCTCAATTAAACAATGTATGCACTAAAACAAGAGATCATTTTATTCTATTTTGCAGTCCATTGTAATGCAGAATTGTTTACAAACCAATTCCAATGATTTTTAGCAAATCAAAAATCATCTTTCAACAGACTCAATTAATCCATGAAATCAGTAATCATTTTTCAAATAATTAAGGTATCAATGATTCAGCAACCAATTTATAAACTAAAATGCATGCAGCAGTAGCTTAAATGTATATGATCATAGCTGCTACAACTAGCACAATCAGTCAAAAACTAACTTTGACAGCACAATTTACAACTTCCCAAACAACAACTATGATTCATGCATTCTCATATCCCAATTTGGTCAACCTTATGAATTCAGTTCTGCACATCAAAACAACATATACAAAAATTAAAACAACAATATGCAATAATCAGATTTAATTTAATAAAATTGTTTATCTTGGTTCAATGATTTTATCCCCTAGCTTAATCAACTACACTCAGGCTTTTCTTGAGAAACTTGGGATATACTAATGAAAAGTTTTGAATGGAAATTCTTCTTGGTAGTTTAAGGTTGAAGAATCTTTCAAACCACCACCACCTCAGATGCTTCCAAGCACACAAACTTTTCTTTCAAATTTCAGAAACCAGAATGAAGCAAGTTCTTAAACAAGATTGGCATGGCTAAGCAATCGGATATTAGATACAAAACAAGACTGCCACAAATTGATAAATAAGAAACAAAAATGCCAATTCAATCATCAAATGACTTAATCATTCAAAAATGCCAATGGAAATTTGTCTGCCAGCTCATTCAAATGAATCTACGTCCAGTTGTTAATCACTATACAAAGTGATTAACGTTTTCACTAAAATCAGTTTCACAAATTACAATAAGAGTGAATAAAAACAGAGACATAAAACCTTCCTTCGACGAACGAACCGGAAGGAGGCTTCCTTCGACCAATGAACCAAAATTGTTGAAAATAAAATGACTTAATTTCTCACACCAAGAGGGAGGGTGAATTGGTGAAATGTAAAAACACTGTTTTCTTTAAATCTTTTTCGCAAAGTGGATGCCTTTAAAAGCTTTCTTGAAACGCAAGGAAAAAGATTTGTTTATTCAGTGGAAATTAAATTTATTTAGTATAGTAAGAAGTCGACTGAATAAAAGAGTGCAGGGATAGAAAGATCAAACGCTGTGTTTTTATACTGGTTCGGCCAAACCTATATCGAGTGTCCTTCCAACCACAAGAAACCAATGCACTATAATGATCAAGGTTTTTACAACAAGGTTTTTATAGCGATCTCACGTCAAAAATATAAAACACCTCTCTAACCGTCTAATCAAAATATAGGTAAATACAAACAGACTAGCAACAAGAATCTCCTCTCCGGTAGTCTAAACCCTTTGAGCCACCCTCAAAGTCAAGAACACAACACGCTCTTCTTCCTGTAATCACAACAGGGAACCTCAATCCAATCTTCACAAGATTGTAGCCTCTGATCTCTCAGTTACACCTAATGTGCAGATATGATCAGCCTTTGTGAGTGCAGTTAACCTACTCTTCAAGAATCCACGAGTAAATGATCACCAAGGTCACTTCTTGGTTCTTGGAGCTCTTTCTCTCTTTCTGTAAGAATACACTTTCTGCAAAAGATATCACAAACTGTTAGATTCACAAAAGTTCTTATAGAAATCAAATTCGCGTCAATTTATAGATAAACACAATTCTAACGCATTTTAATCGACTAGGCTACTAATGCAGTCGAATATAGCAATTCAGTTAAAGTAGTTAGCAACAATCAATGCAGTTAATTGAATATACAATTAATGCAGTCGAATGCCATCTAATGCTTGGTCAACATATTTAAAAATATAGTCGTTGTACCATTTAATACAAGCATTAACAGAATTTCAAAATTGTAACAGACTTAGTCGAATGCACGGTGCATGTAATCGACTATGTAACACAGTTAAACAAAGTTTTGAAAAACTTTCACTTTGAAAATCTCACAGCACACTTTGAAAATGGTTTGTGCAGAGCCACGAGTTTTAATTGACTCAGTTCATAATGAAGTCGACTTAAAACTGTTGTTTTGCCACACAATTAAAAGTTCAACATAAGTGCTTATGGTTTTCCTTT